TCTTCCACAAGGCTATGGCAGTGGTCTCATAATTGGATGCCCAATTTTTCTATGCAGGCTATTGCCTCTGGTGTTGCTTCATGTGATCTTCTACGGCAGGGGTCTCCAACATTAGCAAATTTAAGACTTGTGGACTTCAAAGCTGGCTGAGGAATTCTGGGAATTGAAGTCCACAAGTCTTAAACTTGCCAAGGTTGGAGACTCCTGTTCTAAGAAACCCAGGTTGTGGACAGTCTTGTACAATATATTTCATAGTCAATTGTAAGAACCCTATCCAATTTCATCTTATTCAATACATTAACCCAGCTGTGGTTTTTCTGAATTGAATAAAATTACTGGAAGCAACATGAATGGCCATCTATGAATCGGAGCAAGATGCATAATACAATAACATGGCACATTAATTCTTTTACTAATCTGTTCGGCACAAGATATTTTTATTTCAAATTCCCAGCATCACCCATTAATATGTGTCCTGGGACAAATGGCTGGAGTTGAAATCCAACACAACGGAAGGGCAGTAGGTTGTAGGAAATTGTGCTAAAGGAATTTTGAAACGCTGATCTACCTCCTCTATTCCTGAGTATTTCTGATTGGATTCTCAATATTCAAACTTTGGAGCATAGTCTGTCCCTTCTCTCTGCCCTTCTGGCATTTGTGGATAATCAACCTGCTTATCTTTTGAACGCATATGCTAAAATAAGCCCCCAAGAAAAAGTCAAGTCACTCCTTTTCTGGTTATCGTGGCCACCCTAAAAAAATTAGAAATAAAGTTTTTATCTCTCTTTCACACTCCCTCTCTCCCTCTCTCCCTCTCTCCCTCCCTCCCTCCCTCTCTATCTATCTATCTATCTATCTATCTATCTATCTATCTATCTATCTATCTATCTATCTATCTATCTATCTATCTATCTATCTATCTATCTATCTATCTATCTATCTATCTATCTATCTAGCTATCTAGCTATCTAGCTATCTCAACGTTGGTATCAATATTGATATAGATAGATAGATAGATAGATAGATAGATAGATAGATAGATAGATAGATAGATAGATAGATAGATAGATAGATAGATACTCTGTTTCCCCGAAAATCAGACCTCCCCAGATAATAAGCCCAATCGGGCTTTTGAACACATGTGCTAAAATAAGCCTTCCCCAAAAATATTACAACACAAGTAAAGTAGCAGCTATGAGGTGACCATGCTCACTGCCTCCTGCACCTCAAAAGTAATAAGACCTCCCCAAAAATAAGGCCAAGCACTTATTTTGGGGGTCAAAAGAAAATAAGACCCAGATAGATAGATAGATAGATAGATAGATAGATAGATAGATAGATAGATAGATAGATATGGAAATAGGGAGAGAGAGATGATAGAGAGCATGTGTATATGTATGCACACACATGAGAAAGAGTAAAAAAACAAACTTCTATACAAGGATCTTTACTCTGCTTTGTTGTTAAGCATAAAATCAAGTATTTCGCACCCATTTGCTTCTTTAGCGTTAGAATTACTTCCTTCTCTGTCATGTTTGGATTGGATCCTGCAAATCACATATCTAATTTTGACAGATGAGAGGAGGGCAATTTGCCATACTTTAATTTTAATAGAAGAGCATAGAGGTAGCCCATGTTTGAACTTTGGAGGCTCCCTGAGCTTGGTTGTTTGCTTGCAGACATTTCATTGCCCAATTAGGTAACATCAACACAGTGGATATTTGGTTTGCTCCTTGTTTATGTAAAATAGCTTGCCCACCAATATTAGTATGGATGTCCTTTTCTCCATGGAAGTTCCTTGACTGAGGTATAGTTCTCTGCTTGATTGTTCCTCTGGTATTAATCATTGCTTATCTGGATAGGATGTCTTCTGGTCTGCTTGTTTCTTTCTTAAGCTTTTTATTTTCTCTTTTGAATAGAACATAAATGTTATTTATCTCTGTGCATCTATTGATTTATCTGAACACCAAGCATATTCCTGGAAAGTGCAAGAAAGAGAATTTAGAGAAAATTATTACAGAAAATTTTATCACTGTTTTCACAGAGAATCAGAGAGTTTTAAGAACTGGTGGGTGTTTCTTTTCTGGAGGTATTGGGGTAGAGGTTGAAGGACTATCTGTCAGGCATACTGTAGTTTCATTTGTTAGCTTATATATATTCTAAGATTCCTTTCTATAACTTAAATTTGGCAACCTGAACAGCTGAAAAGGTGAGCATGACATTTCCCCCTTTCTCTTATCTTTTTGGCCATAGGGAAAAAAAAAAATCTTATTTTCTGTTCTGATAGGGTTCTTTGTTTTACTGTAAATGCTATGTACATTTTTAATTGGATCTAGGTTTCTTTTCACTAATACATTTTTTGTGTTTCTTGTTTAAATTTTATTTTTATTCTTTTTTATTTAGGAACAGATTTTATATTTACTCAGATTCTAATGAGCCCATTTGCCTCCCGTTTCTGACAAAAAGGAGACATCTACACAATAAATTGGCAAACCCATGTAATTGCTCCCGGGATGTTTTTTTTAAAACTTGAAAGGAGAGAAAAATACAACTTGGCTGAATCATTGCCAACTGAGAGCAGCGTGTGAGTCAGTATCTGGAGCTGAGTCAAACCTAAGGATCGAGGAAGAAAATTTGTATGAGGACATGATTGTTCTCAGAGTCATCGGAAGCTTGAGAAAATATGGAAAAAGCTGAGTAACATTTAACATTTAACATGTAATTGAGGTCTTTATTTATTTATCAGCACAAATATAACAAATGTAACAAAAAGGCAACAGTAAAAAATATTGGGTTTCTGCCTGGATGGTCTCTTGTGACGAGC